GAATCAGGGCCAGCTGTCTACATAACCAAATGCTGGAATGATTCAGGGGGTTCATCTGATTGTCACGGCATTATGTGTCTGTGTTGCTGATAATGTCCAACAGCTCTTTACTGTACACAGAAGGCTGGGTCTTACAATGGTTGAGATTCACTGAGCCTTTAATAATTTCCTTTGTACAGTACAGAAGCAGCAGCATATTGGTGCAGCCCCGTTAATATAAATCAAAAAGAGTTACAGCAGAATCCATGTTTAGTGACGAAGTGTCAGAATCTGAATACAAGAACTTATGTTGCGCAGGACATTACTCCTCTTGCCAGCCCTGAGTAAATGACACCCGGCCTTTGTGGTCTTTGGGGATTTTTTTGTGTTGACTTACTTGGTTTGTCTTTGTTGGGGCCCCCGAGAAATGGCCTGTGGCTGGGCCTTTTCTGCCAATTTCCACGCTCCATCTGTGGTATCCATTAGCAGAGTCTATACCAGCATTCAGTGCTCTGACACCTGCCTGGCAGGGAGTAGGATACACAAAGGAACTAGACTGGAAAAGGGGGATGGAATGGAAGGTTTCTTTTTTTTTTGGGTGGAGTGGGGGAAACTGAAGACGAAGATGTGAAATGAGCTCTCGGTAGGGGTTAATCCTGGCACTTTTAGTCTAGATCATTTAGCACCTGGAGCAAGAATTGCGCCCGTTACTCGACAACCCTTTACTGCCCCATACTGCTAACCAGTCTGTACACAATGTAAAACTATTTTAATATCCTACGGCTTATATCTCACAAATGACACCCTATTTTAAAGGGTATTCATTGACTTAGTTTATATTATGATTGAGCAATAAAATTATAGAATATTTGTTTACAGCTTTACATAACATATCATACTCAGCTATGCCAGTACTGATCTGTTCACTTTTTAAACCATTGACTTTTAGATGTGGTTGAATATCCGTAACTCTCTCTTAATAATTAGGTACTGATTACGAGGATAACTTCATTAGAACGTGTGCATGTTTCTCAGTCTGAAAAGGATACATGCATGCGACAAGTACTAACAATAATACTATCTAAAATATGTTAAAAACAGAGTAACCTTTTTGTATGCTACATGCTGATTTCAGTACATTTACTAGCTGACTGGTAAATATTGGGGTTGATTTACTAGAGTAGAGCATGTTCACTTTGTAGAATTAAAATGTTCTTCTTAGTAAATCAACACCATAATAGTTTCATGCTTCTAATTAGTACCACATTCTACATTTGGATGCAAAATGCCATTACATTACAGTATAAACCTTAATATTCCTATATTTTTAGCCTGCACTCTCCTGCTTGTAAGGTACCACAGTATATATGCTTAGTAGTAACATTTTATTCAAGCTTATGACTTGTCTTAATATCATAAAACTGTCATAGCTGCCACATAAAAATGAACCTACTTCTTTTAACCTGATTGTGCAGCAAGCTGGTTGAACAAGCATCCTGTTATGTGAAGGAGCACAGTGCTCAGGGTGCTGCGGAAAGCTCCATTCATCCTGTCCACACAAATAACCATAGTTCTGTATATTTTTCACGGTGGCAACAAATTTCACGGAAATCGTTGGCCGTGAAAATATTATTTTACTGTGAAAAACCATGAAATTGGGAAAATCTAGCATTGTTATATATATATATTTAATGAGCTAGTGATTATTTTTTTTTCAATAGTCAGGAAGTCAAAGACATGGGTGAGAATTAACACCAAAGAATTTAAACA